GGGGGGGGGGGGCATTGCTGTACCACTTGATTAAATTAGAAAGCAATGCCTTAAACGAAATTTGATTTAATATATACGTTTTCAAATTCCAATATTTTTACCATTCAGACTGGCAGCCATATTTGAGTCAAGTAATTAAATAATTAGTTCCAGATCAGAAACATTCCCAGTCTAAATATATCTGCTGCTTGTGTTCATGACAGCACGCTTCATATTCCCTGTGCACGTCCTCAGGACCAGCAGCGTTTGTAATTACCTCCAGGAGATGTGGTCACCTTTGAAGATGAACGAATGTGGCGTCATTGTTTCCATCAATACTTAACATCCCTGATACATCTCCACTTGTGCCACGGAGTAATTGCAGGCCTAATTGAATTTTCTTGGCCAGATTGACATCATGGAGCAGTCAAACTGATGACACACCCTCCTAATAATCCCATTTGTACTCGTTACCATATTTTACTCTGCCTTAGCACAACGTTCAGCCAGCTTTGCCTCTGCAGCTCCGACACGACAAAAGGACCAAACAGGTGGAAGTTTCCAGATAAACACCGACAGGCTCTGAACCATCCAGAGGTTTTCTTCCAGCACGAGACACGTTCTTTATACAGATGTTGGTAAACAATTTTGACGGTTTCTTGAAGCCGTCCTGGTGAGCTGTTGTTCTCCACTGTCCTGAGCCGTTGTGAAAAATGATTGAGATATTTTAAGAAAATTATTCTGTCTGTTATTTGAATTCAATTAATAATTCACACGGGGGAATGAGTTTAGGATCTCTCTATTACACACTATCCTTGCCAGTTCAATAATGCATGATTATAGTTTTTCAAGGTAGCGTAGATTTGGTTAGATTTGTCCAAAGGGCTTCTGTCCACTGGAAGTTTAATCAGACTTATCACCGAGTCATCTTGCTGCAGCTGGAAGCTCTTTCTTCAACTTCTGTGACCAAAAGAAACGTGTGGACCGAAGAGAGGAAACGAGTTTGATGATCACAGTCTGGAAAGAAGTCAGTTTTACGGAGGATCTCACAGAGACACACACACTGTGGGGGCGGCTGTGGTTAGAGCAGTCATTCTCCACTGCTAGGGTTGGGGGTTCAATTCCACCAGCAGCCTCATGTTGAAGTGCCCCTGAGCAAGACACTGAACCCCTCACTGTCTCTGATGTGTGTCCCGTCGGTGAATGAATGTGATAAAGCTCTGATTAATCTCTACAGATTCAGATTATCTTTGTAGAGATGTAGTAGAGTGCAGTATGAATGTGTGTGTGTGTGTGTGTGTGTGTGTGTGTGTGTGTGTGTGTGTGTGTGTGTGTGTAGTAGAGTGCAGTATGAATGTGTGTGTGTGTGTTGGAGGTAATTGAGGACGCAGATTGTTGTAAAGAGCTTTGAGTATCTTGATCAGATAGAAAGGTTCTATATAAGTACAGTCCGTTTACCATTTTTTAAATTTCGATACCATGTTACATCCATCCTTCCATCCATCCATCATCCATCCATCCATCCATCCATCCATCCATCATCCATCCATCCATCCTTCCATCCAACCATCATCCGAGTCAGTTCACGGGGGCAGCAACTGCAGGGAGGTCCAGACATCTCTCTCCACAGCCACCTGTTCTAAGAGAACTCCCAAGTTGTTCCCAGACTAACAGAGAGACGTAGTCTTTCTAGTGTGTCCTGGATCTTCTCTGGGGTCTCCTCCCCATCAGACATAACCGCAGCACCTCCCAAGGGAGGTGCCCAGGAAACATCCTTACCAGATGAACCACCTCATCTGGCTCCTCTGGATGTGGAGGAGCAGTGGTTCTACTCTGAGTCTCTCCTGATAACTGAACTTCTCCCCCTGTCTCTAAGGGAGAGTCCAGCTCTGCAGAGGAAACTCATTTCAACCTCCTGGATCCACGATCTCATTCTTTCAGTCTCTACCAGAGTTCATGACCAGAGGTGAGGGGAGGAACGTAGACCTCATGTTACAGTAAACCAGCATACGCAGGTCATTATTAACAGGTGTCAGAAAACACTCTGACACTGGTTCTTCATGCATTTTATTACAATTTTACAGCTATGATTTTAAAAACCCTGATTTCCTCTGAGCTGACCTTAACACAATGACAGAAATGTGAGCAGACAAATGTCAAAATGTGAATTAAGAAGGATTTTATCTGACGGCTGAAAAACTCTTCACATCCGACATGAAGCAAATCTTTACATTTATCTGGTGTGACCTTAACACAACTGAATTTTTAATCTGCTTTAATTACAGCGTAAATAGCATAATTAAGCAAATACACGTAATTATGGAACGAGGGGGGATTGTGTTGATGAAAAGCTGGGGTCATTTACACTCTGCGCGCTCGCTGCCTCCGTTCGTTGCTCTTATTCCACCCATCTTCTGTATTTGCACCTTGGGGTGATTACCAGGCTGGAGGTGTGAAGATTTGACACTCGGCAGATAGATTCATTTACTGCCACTGCCGGACCTGGAGGTGATAATGAGGTCGAGGATTAAAAGTAGACAATCAGTTGGTCTGTGACGACCCCCCCACCCCTTCAGCCGGCTTGTTAAAATGAACCGGTCCCACCCCCAGGTTTTGATCCTCTCCCATGTAATTACATGCTAATCTTGGACTCTGAGGGGAAAGACAAAAAATAAACAAGGAACGAGACACGAAGGAGGAAGAGTTGCTTAAAACAAGTGTTTTTATGAATGTGATTATTCTTTCATGATGTTTTGTGTTATGGCAAAGAATAAATAAATTAATGGAATTGGAATTTTAATTTTTACACAGTTTTTGAGAAGTTACAGATTGATTTGC